AAAAAAAAAAAAAAAAAAAAAAAAAAAAAAAAGTTAAAAAAAAAAAGAATGAAAAAAACAAAACAAAGCAAAAATCCTATTTTTTGAGAAAGAAAGATATTTATATTTGCAGTTTTATTTTAAAAAGTTATTTAAGCTGAGGAAGCGGCCTTCCCAGAGGTGGGGGGTGGCTGGTGCAGGACGGGTCAGGGGCCTAGGGGCTCAGTGCCAAGGCCACAATCTCAGAGTTCAGAGGGCTTGCACTAAATAGAGATTTACATTGGGGGCCTGGGGGGAGCAGGGCCAGGAGGCAGGGGGCTGGGGCTGCCCAGAGCTTTTCGTGGGAATCCCAATGTCCAGGTGCCCCTGCCTCGCCCAGACCCAGACGTGAGGTGCCTTGGACTGTGGGGGCCGGGCCTGGGGCGTGGGGCGGTGCCGGGGGGTACAGAGCACAGCACAGAGCAGACATTCCACAGACTGTATTTGAGAGTCTTTATAATAAAGTGTGGGAGATTTAAAAAATTCAATTGATAAAAATGCACTTTTTGGGGGTGGGGGGAGACGCTTTAAAAGTAATAAAAACAGACAAAAAAAAAAACAAATCATTTTTCTTGTACATAAAAAAAAAAACAAAAACCACTAAACGCAGCCTGTTAAGACCGCTGCTGCCTCGTTGCTTGATTTTGATGTTTTTGTGTTTTCTTGGGGGGCTGGGTAGCAGGGAGGGGGGTGTCTGTGCGGCTCATTCTAGATCCTTATCCGAGGCTCCCTCCAGCCCTGTGGGTGGGACCTGACTGGCCCAAGCTTGGGTTTCTCAGACCCCCTGACCGGCCTTTCCACCTGGGCCTTGGATAAAGTGGCCAGGGACAGGTGTGGTTGGAATTCCGGGGGGAGCCTGCAAGATGGGAGACCTCACCTGGGAAGGTGACCCATAGCCCTGGGCGGACATGGGCTGGTGGGACCTGGAAGGTGCCTGAGACTCCACAGGAGGGCACGGGCGAGCAGGGAGAACCTGCTGGGTGGGGTCCTTGGGCACCTCCAGCTCGGCCTGCAGGCTGCCAGATACAGGGCCGGAAGCCTGCGCTGGCTGGGGACCACTTCCTGTCCCTCAGGAGGAAGTCGGCCTGGGGCCCTCACTGGGAAGGGACTCAGGCTGCAGCCCCCACTTGTGGGCGAGGTACACCTAGCAGGTATTACAGGTCCCCACCGTGGTCTGTGCAGACCGGCGAGGCTGGTCAGGTGGAGCCTTCATTATGCCAAGCTTTTCCTAGGAGGCACCACCCAGCCTCAGTTCATCCAGTCACCCTGGACCCTGTGGCAGTCCCTTGCATAAAGACGGTCACCAGTGGTTGGCCATCCCAGGACGGGCCAGGGCCCAGAGGCCATGTGGCGGAAGCCTAGGGGGACCAGGGCCTTTGGACCAGGAGACCGGAAGGAAGCAGAGTCAGCTGCCGGTAGTGGCTCAGCCCCCTGGGGCCTCCTTGCTCCCACTCTTGAGATTTTCACCAAGATCTAAAATCCCTCATGCAGTGGAGCTGAGTCTATTCAATAGAAGTATGCGACCCTCACCTCGAATTGCAGAACATTCATCACCCTAAAGGAAGCCCTATCCATCCCCGTGATCAGTCAACCCAGCCCCACGCTTCCAAGTCCACTTCCTGTCTCTGGAGTCGCCTGTCCTGGGCGTTTCCTGTTCATGGAACCCACAGTGTCCTGTGTCTCACTGCTCACTGAGCATGGCGTCCTCGGGGTCTGGTCCGTCCACACCGGTGAGTGTCACAGCCCGGCTCAGTGACGTCCTGGCCCGGGGATGCCTGTGCTCTCCACACGGGGGCTGGCGTGGCCGTCCATGTGCGAGCCTCAGTGTGCACACGCGTGTTTTGCTTCTCTTGGCCCCGTGCCTAGGAGAACTGCTGAGTCACTGCAGGCCCGGGGTTGTTTCCCCGCGGTGTTCGGTTGGGAGCCCCAGCCCTAGTGCGAGGTGAGGCTTTCGACTGAGCGAGCCCCCCACCGCCCGTGCCGAACTCTGATCTGCATCCACAGGTGCTCCCACCTTGCACCCTGGCTGTGACCCTCCTCTGATCTCAGCATCCTGAGGGTGTCATCTGCATTTCCCGCTGCCTACGGTGACCACCAATGTGTGTCCTGATTGGCTACCTGTCGCCCAGGCAGACAGGGACAGCTTCGGAACTTGGAGGGGAGTCCGAACCCCCGGTCGGGCCCAAGCCACCTCACCCCACCCCAGCCCTCCTCCCAGCAGAGGACACTTAGACCAGAGGGTGGCAGGACCCTCACAAAGCACCAGCTGAGTGAAACCCTGGGCAGGGGGTCCTCACCCTTTCCCCGGCCCCTCCCTGCTGTGGAAGCCACATCGCACATTAAGGCAAGAAGGGCACAGAAGACACCTGGGATCCCAACACTCGGGAGGCTGAGCAAGAGCATCACTGCAAATTCCAGACCAGCCTGGGTGCCACAGTGAGTTTAAAGTCAGCCTGAATCACAAAGCAAGACTCTGTCTTAAAAAAAAAAAAAAGGAACAGATGCCTTGGTGGCTTTATGTTGACCTTTTTTTATTTGCATTTTTAAAAAACAATTAAATTAGAATACAAATATTAGAAAAGAACGGCCCTCGCTGCCCATGCAGGCGGGTGGCCGGCTGCAGCGGAGTTCATACAGTTAAGACTGAATGTGCCCTCGTCCAGACCACAGTCCCCTCCTGACCTGAAATGATATTGCTTCCTGATTAGGACAGTTCTGCTCAGACAGGGAACCAGGGGCGGGAGGGGTGGGAGAAGTACAACAGGAGGGCCGGGCTGAGGGGGTCCGAGGACCCCCGCCC